CCCCCCAAGCACCAAGAAGACAGAGCATCACTTGCCCCAGAACCCCTAGCTATACCTTGTGGCTAATAGCCACTGATGGACCTCTGCTCCATATGCTTATCTAATTCCCTTTTGAAGCCGTCCATGCTTGTAGCACCCACCACTTCCTGTGGCATCATGGCACTTCCATGGGGACTCTGCAGGTTAGGGCAGGGAGGGGGAAATGAGGAAGTCTAGAGGCTGGTTGCTTTTTATTCATAATGGACAATGTGGAGGAAACTTGTAGCCAGGGCTGACCAAACAGAAGTACTTCACATATAATGCACAACTTGTGGAACTCACTGCTGCAAAATGTGTCGGTCTCTGCTGTGTATGACAGAGAGAGAGGGGATACCATCACGCCCTGTCTTCATGCCTTCCTGAGGGAGGATCCGTCCGACGAGTGTTGGAATAGAGGGAGCTTTGGGCTTTCCCGGTGCACAGTGGGCTTGGAGCCCCTGATCTGTTTTTTCTCTTTTTGTGTGCACCTTCTAGAAATGACATGGGTACTTGCCTCAGTACTTGTTTAGAAATGACATGGGTACTTGTTTAGTCATGCCGGCCACATGACCACGGAAACGTCTTCGGACAGCGCTGGCTCTTCCGCTTTGAAACAGAGATGAGCACCGCAACCCTAGAGTCGGATTCGACTGGCTTTCAAGCAAGGGAACCTTTACCTTTTACCTCTACATGCCTCAGAAGGGAACAACTGTGCCACAGAATTTGTCACCCATGTAGAATCCCAGTATTATGTATCTGCATAGCAAAGACCACCCCCGCCCCCCATAATCTCAGGACCAGGGTTCTCTGAGCTATTCCACTGGCATCTGAGTTGCCAGCCAGGTGGCAAGAAGGTACATGTGGGGCGGGGGATCATGCCTGATGCCCTTCGAACTGTCTAGCCATCTACTTTCTGGCTCTATGGTTGGTGGTCCCTTTACTGGTACTAGTTCCTGGCTGGCATTATCCAAAATCCCGATACTCATATTTGAGGAGGAGGGGAGGGGAGGTGTCTGGTGCAGAAATCTTGGTTAGGTCTTCTCGTCTTGCTCTTTGCCGCGGCTGAATTTTAAACTGAACCCCGTACCGATGTAACTTTTACAAATGGCTGGCAAGTGCAAACTTTCTGTTCTTTGTTAGAGGCTGCTGTGGAGCGAAGTGCCGTAAAGCGGCCTGTCCTCGGGGCAAATTAAAATCTGCCCCAGTAATGGCTGATTTACATACAGCTTTCTATGCTTATTTAACACACCCCCCCCCGGCACCCAATGATGAATGTTAGGGACTTTCAGCATGGAAGGCTGGGGGTGGGCGGGGGGGGGGACTGCCTACATGACACTCAGATTTGATTTTTCAAAAATAAATGTTACATAGCTCAACTGTGGCTTAATATTCAAGGTGCTGTGCTCACACCAGGATCAAAATGATTAAATATGTATTGTATCAGAGAAAGGAAGCGGGAAAGAGATAGCAAAAGGGAAAAATAAATCACCTTCCATCCTTTTTAGTGTGAAGCAGAATGCTTTGGTAGCTTCATAAACACCACCATAAATAATAAACATTTTATGCAGCAAGGGGGGTGGGGGTGAAAGGGCTCAATTATTCATTTGCTTCACTCCTAGAATGTAGAGAAGACGGGAGAATTCAGCGCGTTTCTGCTTAGGACGGATCTGGCCTTGGAGGACAGACTGAGGCCCGGAGTAGGGTGGCGGTTCTCCGAAAAGTTGCAGAACGGTGAGTGTGAGACGTGACAAGTGCCAGGCAAGTTGAAGGGATGGTCGGCCACTCCTTCTGTTTC